TTTTGTCCAGGACAGGTTACACTTTCACCAGTACTATTTGGTAACATTTTTTATGATTTTGACATTTTGGCATTCTGGCGTAAGAACACAGAACATCTTTCCGCCTATGAAAAATTTGCATATGTAGTTTATTCTTATCTGTGTGAAAACAGGAAATACAGAGGGTGTTTCAGAAATACCCCCCCAAAAATCGTTTCACTAACAACCAACAAGTGCCACCTGTGTGTCATTTTGACCAGTTAATCACTTGCTGCGGTATAACGCACTAATCTCCAGATAATTTCGCCCAGTATGGGGTTTTACCATGCATTTTGAATGGCTGCATCTGTAGGTTCTTTTCCACTGCATTTAGAGGTAATTGGACAAACAATTTTTTAAACAGTGGGATTTAAACGTTTTGGGCCTTTTATCAACAACAATAGAAATTAAGTGAGTATATGACTGATTTGACTTAAGCAGGAACCCCAGTTTCACATTTTCAAAATTTTGTATATACTACAATTACACATGAAAATTGGAATTAATTAACTAAATATTTTTTATAACAGGAGCAGTTTGTATAAGCCGTGGTCCTCAAAATGTTCAGGGCTTGAATTTCGGTGCGGTATTGTGGGTATGCCGCACAATTTTAGTTATTCTCGCAAGTCCAGCATTTATAATGTGGAAATTTCCAACACATATTTATTGGCAATCTATCTCCCAGATAGAATTAGCCTAAAGCCTCAATCCACATGTATTCTCTGTCAGATTGAGTTTTCCCAGCATGTTGCATGGCACTACTGCATGATTCGGTGACGTAACCATATTTGTGCAGTTGCGTTTCACGTCTCGCATTCATTATAGGCGGACAAATAGGGATAGAAAACGGGTTGATTTAGACTTGGAATTGGTTAACGTCAGTTCAACCCGAGAGCTTCAACATCTACAGATGCAGCCATTCAAAGTATTGTCAAAGTATTACCCTGGTCCACATTCTTTGTAACCGTCTTTGTAAACGAAAATACTTTATTTTTTAATTGACAAAAAACACCACAGCATTTCGTTGATCCGCTCACGTATTCGTTTCCAATCATACAAAGTAAGTCTTGACAATCTCAGATTCAGCATGCCTTTCACATGTTCAGAAACTATATTAATTTAGGAACATAAACATATTATGTAAACTGTACTATATATTGCTGGTAGTTTAAAGAAAAAATACACACCAGTATTCCATTTCTCCCTAAACATTTTAAGCATCAAAGTCTTACAGTTGGTTATTTCAGCAACATTTTTATGTGCTCCTTCTGACCATAGTAAGATTAAATACTTTGTGAAAAGTGATTGTCTTTTAACCTTTTCTGTGAATTTGTTCGTTATCGGCTTAAACAAACGCATACTTTTAGAATTTGATTAACAGGGAATGTAATATGGAATTGCGTATCTAAACAAATTAATAACGATATAATTATATTAATGTACTGTCTGGTGGAATAAACTGAAGAGTTAGTTAATGCGACAGAATTATTAAGAATTTTCACCTCTTTTTACACTTGAGAACAAATGAGAACATTCCACTCAGTGGGCGATGCATTGTTATCTCAATCACCTGCTTATTCGTTTTACACCACGGGAAGACAGGAGAATCTGATTGTACTGTATCTGTACAGAATGTGTATCTGTAAAGAATGTGTTCAATCAATACAGTAATTGATTAAAAACGCAAATGCGTGTTTAATTAAATGCCCTTTTTGATTTACAATTTGACAATAAAAACCGGGGTAAAGTTAGCTTGAATTTAAAAAACGATTTTGGCACGCCTGTAGCATTTTCACGAAACCTAGAGTTGTGATAACACTTCTTTTGTGTATAAAGTACATTGTGAATGTTTTCACAGCCTTCACTTTGTTGTTTTTATGCCATTGGTTTTACCATGCACAAATATTCTTATGTCCATATCTTCGCAAGGGAATCAGCGCAAATTTTAATACTTATTAAATGACCGCGGGCAATTTCCACCCCCTCTACTCTTCTCAGAGTAGAATAGGCTAACCTTTGGTGGATGTTTTGGGTTTTGCTTTTTCACATATCTCCCCTTTTTATAAAACGACATGGTTGATGTTCCAGAGTCAATGTTTTTTTATCAGTGAAACGTACATCATGAAATGCCTCTCCCTGTTCAATCCATTGGAAAAAAGAAAAGGAGCATAAAGCGTCTGATGGTCATAAACGATATTAATTTAGGAACCACATCTGAGAGATTTTTTTTAACTGCACTGCATCGGAGAGAATACCATAGCGCGTTTTTTACTCTTTGGCTTCCCGGGCTTCCATAAGAATCAGTATAGCTTCTGGGAAATACATTTTTCCTGCATTAAAGTTTAATTCGGTCAGAGCGTCCTACATTACAAACTCCAAGCGTTTCATTTTGAGCTGAAGACCCTCACACCTGAAGAAAGATTCACAGCCGAAATGTTGAAGGCTGACGCGGCTACCCAACAAAGTAAAAGTATTCCAAAGTATTCCAGTAAATGTTTATATCATTATATCTAATTTTTTATTTCTTTTTTTAAAATTAAAAAAATCATTTTTCCCATTTTTCTCTAATTGACAGCTGACACTCCTCCATACATTCAAGTGAAAAATTAATGCCAATGTAAATGTTGTATTTACAATTTGTTGATAATAAAAATGTTAAGTTCTCTAAAGCTTTCTCAGTCAATTATGATAATTTACCTATGGAGCTGTGTAAGCATGCGTAGGCAGCAAAAGATCAGCTAAAAACGCTTTCAGAGAAAATGTTTCAGGTGTGAAGAACACAGATCCCCAATGCAATTTCAACCAAACCTGTCCCCACACACCCTGCCCCACTGCAATTAGAATATACACAAAGCACTGAGTAGATGATCAGGGGTTTCGCAGACATAGGCATAGTACGTAATTCAGGCTTTATGAACTCACACCTGGGATTCGATTAATTAGGGTTATTAATTATTAGAGTTCATAAAGCCTGAATTACGTACTATGCCTACATCTGCAAAACAACTTTGCTAGTTAATGCTACTTCACTTTCTCGGGTGTGTTTTTTTTAGGAAAAAACCAGGCTAACAGGCTTGTTTCGTGATCTTTCTAAGATTGTTAAGCGCAGTGTCAAAATGTTTCCATATGAAAGGATGTGACGTCACCGTCCTGAGGCGTGTGTGTGTGGCAGATCTGTTGAGTGTGAATTGTGGTGAGCCTCTGATTGGGGGAAAAAAAGACCTGCTGATCTGTTCTACATACCAGGAAGACAACAGAATATGATTTTTTTTTTTAAAGTCGTGCAATTTCTAAGCAGGAACACATCATTATATCTTATATATGAAAAATGTATAATATAACTTATGTATGAAAACGTGTGTGTACTAGCTGTACTGAAAATAAAGCCCCGTTTTTCATTCAACGAGTGCCTGAGTCACTGTGTCCATCCTATATAAAAATGCCACAATATTATAAACACCCTTAGGCTGGGCAATATAATTTTTTAATTAAAAAAGTAATAAATGAGATGTAATGATGTGTTCCTGCTTAACTTAGAAATTGCATGACTTTAAAAGCGATAAAAACAGGTTTCGATAGTTAATAACCACTGCACGAAAAACGGGTGATTTTTCTTCCTCGTCATCAGATCTTTCTTGGAAAAATGTCTTACCCGCTGCAATATGGGCACAGAAGGGTTAAAAAGTCAGACAGATAGGGGGGAGAGTGAGTTGTGAAACTGTTACCTGTCCTGGATAAAGCGGTTAGAAAATAGGTGGATTTACACCTGTGAAAAGCGTTCCAATTTTAATGAGATACAGAAGACATTATTCATAAAAAATGATTATGTTAAATATGTGTTAAATATATTTAAATCTTTGAATTAATATCGTTATTGATTTCTATTTCGTTATTTCGATTTGTCCAATAATACTCTTCTTGTGTCTAATTTTTAGTTAAGCAGGATTTGAGCTACAGACCATAAAAAACAGGATTCACTTTTTTAACATATTGATGATAATATCAGTAGCAGTTTGAAACTATTCATTGTTATTAATAAATGCCTTAGATTCAAACATGATATTTAGAAATATAAAAAAGTCAATAGAGTGTTCATAATATTGCTGTTTTGCTATTGCTATTTTAGTTTTTCAAATAAATGTTTGTTAAAAGAAAACTTGTGGCGATAGCTGGATTTAAATACCCTACCTCTCGCTTATCAGTCAGGCACTTAAACCATCACGCCACTGATGCAGTCACGTGACAAGCAGTGAAACAGCCTTACACATATCAATAGTACATGAATATAATTATATCGTTATTAATTTCTTTAGATACGCGATTCCATATAATATTCCCTATTAATCAAATTCTAAAAGTATGCTTTGTTTATTCTGATAAAGAGCGTATTCACAGAAAAGGTTAAAACGATCACTTTCACAAAGTATATAAACGTACAGTCAGAAGGAGCACATAAAAATGTTTACGAAATAAACACATTTAAAGACTGTGATGCTTAAAATGTTAAGGGAGAAATGGAATACTAGTGTGTATTTTTTCTTTAAAATACCAATACCAGCAATATAGAGTTTACATAATATGTTTATGTTCCTAAATTAATATCGTTTATGACCTTCAGATGCGTTATGCTCCTCTTCTTTTTATGCTCAGCTACTAAAAATTCCCTTTAGTTGTAAAATTCCATATAAATATTAAATACTAAGTGGATTAAAACGTGCAAAGTAAAGACATTAAATGATTAAATCTTTCCAAGACCGACCAACGCACGCGTCGGTCATTTTGGCCAGCCAATCACATACCGTGATACGGTGCGGTGGCTCACGCGTAATTGCCCGTGGTATGGGTTTGAACCGTGCATTTTGAATGGCTGCATCTGTATACATACAGTATTACATTACTGTTTAGGGAATTAATGTACATAAATGTTGCTAATTGTTTCAGTGACTTCATGGAAAATGTTTTTTTACTCTTTATTCTTTCAGATGGACCCTGAATATGTTCCTGATGAAAATGAGGTGCGTGTTCTCTTTGGGTTATATTTGAAGCAGAAGAGGAACAATATTTCTATCAACGGCTCTCTTTTCAACAATGTTGTCTCCAATGGAAAAGTAAGTGCTTCTTTGGTAGAGATGTGACCACATCTCAAATCTGTGGGTGTAGCTTCTTTCCTTTGTGGTAGAAATATCCGGTTTAAAAATCTATGAAAGCAGCCCGTATTTATGATTATTATTTTTAAACTGTGATCCTCCCTGTTGTTCTCTGTCAAACTAAAAATTACTTCATACTAATGAAGCTCCTTTTAAATCTTTGATATTTTGGTAATTTTTCACTTGTGTAAAATGTTGAAAACCATAAATCTTCCAAACATACTACCAGCTCAGAAATTATTTCTGGTCAATTTAAATAATCTTATAACAGCTGCAATTTTGCATCTTTCATCATCCAAGGTCCTTGTTCCTTTCTATGGTATTCAGTTTTACTATCTTAGGGCTGAACAATAAACTAATAATTTGTTTGGTATGTGCATAAATATTATGTGAAAAAATGTTTATTCTCCCCATTTAGCTAATTTGGTAGTAGTTAATTGATCCCAGGATCTCATCCAACCAACCATGTCTTGAAAAAAGCCAAGGTACTGTATCAGCTTCAACAACATAGCTGAGTAGCTTATTCAATATACCACGGTCTGGAAAAGGTGGTACTAGTAAAGACAATTTTAAATGCACTTCCACAAATTTTCATCTACGTCCTCCGGCTCATGCTTTACTGTTTATTATGAAAAAGTCCAATTGGTAAAGTTTGTTAATACCTTTGAGAATTGTGGATACTTGTCAAGTTGTAATCTTACCTGTTAAAAGTCTAAAAAGGCTTACATTCCTTCACCCTGCCAGTGTAGGACATACATTTTAGCCCAGAAATGGTTGTAGTTGCTCTTCAAGGGAATGATTCCACTGTAACCTCTGCAGTGTCCAAAATTGTATTGAGTATTATAAAGGGGACCTTCTTAGAGCATTAATGTACATTTAGCACTCACCTCTTGATTTAAATAATATGGTCTTGGAAAAAAGAAACACAACATTTCTGGAATGAGAATCCTATAGTTATAGCTTATGTACTGTGACAAAAAGTTGTAAATTTGTTTTAAGTCCTCTGAGCAGTAATACAGCTTGTGCAGAGAGGCATTTCATCTGGCCAATCACACGAAAGCTTCTTAAATGCACTTTTACCAAGCAAGGTCGAGGTGGAACAATGCCTTTAAAAAGGCCTTAATTTAAAGCTTAGGTCACTGCAAGAAAAAGGCCACACTTAGTCAGTTTTTGTGCATTCCATAATGCCTCGATTGTCACCAGAAGCAAAGGAGAGGGCCATTGGCATGCCGGCTTGGGTAATTGTTGATTGTGTCAGGGACATGTAACAGCTGTATTTGCAGTCACAGTGTCAGAAGAGCCTGATGATTGGCTCTGTCACCATGTGTTTCTGAGGGTGGGTTTTCTGAGTTGGACAGACCTAGATAGGCCTGTGTCCACTCTGGAAGTAAGTAGATTTTGCAGTGTACAGATGCAGCCATTCAAAGTGCGCGGTACAGACACGTACCGGAGGTAATTGGCTACGGCGTCGCGCATCGTGACGCAAGATGACGCAGGGTACCGCGGTACGTGATTGGTTGACCGACAGGGGCACTCGTGGTCTGTTGGTCTGTCGTAGAAAGATTTACAGTAAACGTCTTTACTGTGTCCATTGTAGTATTTAATATTTATATGGAATT